TGAAAAGAGCTTCACTGAGTGAGAACTAGTGTTAAGAGCAGCAGACAGCTTAAGTTTCACTTTCACTTTGTTCTGTTACTGCAGAGAGCCTGCAGGAGTCATGGGCGGGGTGTGTGGGGTGGGGGGTGGGGAGGTGTGCTCCTCGATGAGGAAGTTCGTCTTAAAGACACGTCCCAGAGGCGTTTCTGGTCCCCACCTGTCATTTTGCTCCTCAGCATGGCTGCCTAAAAACACTGCAGGATTTCTCAAACATGCATGAATGAGTCAGAGCAAGGCTTTGGGCATGTTTTTTATGAGAGTATAACATGATATAAAACTCAAAAAAGTTGATTTTACATGGTATTGCCCCTTTAATAATTTCTCTTCTCTTTAAGCAGAAAGCTGGCATGTTGAAATTAAATACAAGAAAAGTTTATCTAATTCTTCAAGTTACAATTTTGATTTAGGCAAACTATCTTAGCACAAATTGTAAGGAAATTTGTGTTTGGTAGATTATTTCTTTACTGTAACACTGCTTCTTGGCAAACCTTATCGAAAAGCCTGTTAATTTCCCTTCTAAATGGTGCCACTGCCACATTTGTAAGGAAGATCTCAGAATGTTTGACTTTTTAGTTGAAACAGTTCAAAAAATTGGCTCCACATTTTCAAAAACCCCAGTATATTTATGGGACTGACTACGACCTACTATATCATATGCATTGGACTGGATTGAAGTGAACTGCATCAGCTTTTCAAATCACTGCTTTAAAAAGAGATGGATGTTTACAACAAGATGAACTGGGCCCACTTTGCTAATCCATCCAGCAGCTTTCACCACTTTATCCTTTTTAAAGCCACAGGAGGACTGAAGCCTATTCCAGCTGGTTTGGGGCACACAGTGTACAGATCACTAGTCCATCACAGGGCTAAATCAGACACACACAACTCTTCACTCTTACAAGACACTTTTATAGAATCTCATATCAACCTAACATGTGTGAACTTGGACTGTGGGAGGGAAAACAAGGGAGCCAATCCCAAACATTAAGATCCAAACTGAAATGAACTTTCAAACCTAGAAGCTTCATATATCAGTAATTCAGTTTGTGAGTCAATATCTGCAGTGCTGACTGCACTCCATCCATTAGAATGAAAATTACAGCATGTCTGCAGGTCAATATCTGCTTCACATCAGCATGTTAGAACCCATTCCTGTTAGCTATACGGTATGCTGATATTAGCATTTAGCTCACAAAACCATAATGACTCAGCTGGACTTCCCTACCAGCCCATCTGGAATCTGAAGATGAGAGAAACAGATGGTAGACCTAACTAGATCACCTCTTTTTATTGACAGGAAGAGGAAAAACATCTTTGTTCCCAGCCAGTTTTATGTAATCTGAGATTTACCCTAATTTCTCAAGGCTGGTTTGTACTTGATTCTTGAGTTTTTATTTTTTGTGAAAAGTTGTACTTCAGGGTGTTAATAGATGTTATTGCTGTTCAGTGAGACATCAAAATCAACAGGAGACTTCCTCTAAAGTATGCTGACTTTTGAACCCTAAAACCAAGGTTGCAGATTCAGCATGAGTCAATCTTTCTATAAAGCAGAAGGAAAAGACTCACAGCACTGTTGATGCATTCACATAAAAAATAGAAACACAATGTAGCCTCTCAAACTGATGCTATATTAGTTTCTTTATTTCTCAGCTAGGGCTGCCACAAACGATTATTTTAATAATCGATTAATCACCGATTATTTTTTCGATTAGTCGACTAATCAGATCATACGTTAATTGAATATAAAACATATCTTATCATGTCAGAATGCAGCTGCTATTATATAACTATCGTTTAGATTTTAGCTATATGCTAACTAAAAATAATTGCTG